TGACGTTACGCCCACTAGTTTTGTTGATGATCTGGATGGACTGTTTGCTGTTGGCTTTTCATTTTGGATGATCATTTCCCTTCTAGCGGCTGTATCTTCCAACTTGCCCACGTATTGCCTTATCAATCAAAACACTATGCTTGTTGGCATGATGGCGGCTATCGGGGTTAACACGTCCGAACAACGTCGTTCTTTACCGTCGCTCATCCATGGTCGAAAATGAAAGGGCAATCAAAGGGGTACTATTTTGCTTATTTTTGACGGATTTCTTTGCTTTTTTCGCCATTGGCGTACTATTGAGACCCCCACGTCCCCTCTAAACCCCTTTGAGATCTATCGTAATCGCTTCCTTTAAACAATTGCAGACAGCGTGCTGCAACATGCGCGCACATTATCTCACGAAAAGGGATTATTAGTATTTCAGGTAATTTCTTGAAAAGCAAAAGTACGATCTTGCTCTAAAGTCAATCCCGTGACCTCTTGCTGTGAGCCAGTGCCACCATCGCTGAGCTTTCCTGCTTCACAACATCTTTCAGGAAATCGTTTCGCATATAACGGAAGCAGACCTGTACTCAGCGTCTAGAGGCACGTATATAGGTATACATCTCATTTTAAGGACGAATTCACGATGAAAAAGCAACCCATTTCAAATTAACCTAGGGATGGTGAGTGGTACACGAAAGAAGGAAAAACCATGAGAAACGGCCCAGAACCCGAGAAATGGGACCCCTTCCTTGCCCGTTGATTTGAGCATTGATGCGACTCTCATCGCTGTGCCCTCTTCAACACTACGCTCTCTCTGCTATCTAATCACTCGCCACGTATAGACCTGCGGCGAGTGATCAGATGATCGGTGGGCGTGCACTGGCCCACCGCGCCAAGATTGAGCCATAATAGGTCGCCGAGGTCAACTTTTCATGCCAATTGCGCGTCAGTTCGCACCCTCAGGAGGTCCGTGGGTCCCTCAACTAGGTGAATTACCCCTTCTTCGACCTTCATTCTAATCGTGAATTCCTCCTTTAACTGGCCGGACCGACCAATTGACTTTATTGTAAGTGCTGGCACATAAATCGTCAACGCTTTCTACGCCGACTCAAGGCAGTTTGAAAAATAAAATACTAACAGAACGAAATAAAACATGTCGTAGTAAGGACTGGTCAATTTTCTGCATGGAGAAATGATGAGCATACCTCTCCGAAACATTTTTATGAGCCTTCCTATGGTTGACACGATCGTTCCTTCGAATGAGCTTGTCACCGCAAAGAGGGCATGGTGCCATATAACAATCCGAAACCAAATGGGCCATGAGTTGATTCTTTCGTACTTGGAAATTGCAAAATGCACACACAATATATAAATTGCCATCCTGAATTAGACAACGTTAGAAGCAATAGGTGAATGGGGTCAAACGAAGCGTCAAACAATACTTGATCGGAAAAAATCAAAGGACTTTATGCTAATATATTATTAACAGCAGCTAATGAGGAGACAGCAAACCTGCTTGGAAGAATCTATAGGAATGGTATGTTGCGCCTTCACATGGTCCAGAAGCAGTTCCAGTCTTTCCAAACCATCAAGTGGAGGGTCGCAGAGCTTGCAAGAAAGCGGCATTTCTCTATAAAGCTTACTGATCTCAATCTTTGAAAATCTATTTGTAACGAAATGAAAATATAAGGTCGACCAAAGTATCGCAGAGAGCGATGAAATTTAAGGTTTTTGGTCGAGAAGAATCCCGAGAACCTTGAATCTTCCCCAATAATTTTCTGTCAAACATCCGTAAATTTTTGAATCTGCTTGGCCGGACAATTTCAGACACACATCGTTGGAAAAGCTTAACAGAAGCTCGATAAGCTAAACGACGTTAAGATGCTTACTCATTCAATTTGCACTCCAGACACCATCCCATCACACTATATGTAATCGCTACCTAGATGCTTCCCACTACCGTTTCCCGGGGGTTTGAGCAAGTTGGAAGTGCGCTCCAGGAACACTTCAATTCAATTTCGCTCCAGTACTGAGTGATCTCATAAAAAATGTGCGTTTCCTGTGATGCCTCCAACACTTCGGGAAAAGGAAGAAACAAACACCTGTATCCAGTCTGGTTCGCTTCAAATTTGTGAGGGTTCTTGGTACTGATGCAAAATTTGAACTGTGAACTTCACGTTACATCTTAATTTAATGGCATTAAACAATACATTAGGTTCCATTTGAAAAGGGTTCAAAGGATGGTGCTCCCTGGCATGCAAATGAAAAGAGCAGGATTTCTATTAAAAACCCTGTGAAGAGCGAAGATCCACGGGTCCATGTAGACCAGATATGGGCCACAGTCCGCTGACCACCCAGGACGTTTCAGCCCACGCTATAGGAAAGGATGTTGCGTTTTCCTTTTTTTCTTTCCATTTCGATCGACGAGGTTCTTTTTGCACTATACAGCAGGTCCTTCTTTCCAAATTCCTTGATGTAATTTCTAAAAATTTAACCGGAACGGGAACAGAACTTCCTTTCCGAAGCAATGAAGACCTCGCAAAGTTAAACGACTTTGATAGGCAAACCAAACAACATCATAGTCGTCGAACATTGCCCTACCCCACTACCGCCTCATCCGAAGCTGGGAGGATCATTTGAACGAAAAAAAATCTGAGTTCTTGGTCTGGGCAGTAGTAGAAAGTTATTTTCAAGCAGATCCTTTGTAGAAGTTTTTCAGTGGGGAAGCTAATCAAATGTAGATTTGAATAACGTATACACTGTAGACGACATTGGCATTTGCATAGAAATATCTAGTTCTGAAAAAAATGATGGAGCGGGAAAACGCATATTACTTACGGGATGGGATGACTCAGCAATTGCATCAAGCAGATTAAAAAATTTATAGGATAGTAAGAAAAAAAAGTTATTCATGACGATTTCTTCATTTCGAAAAATTGTTGCTATTAGTTTCAAATGAAATCTCGCATAAAATACGTAAAAGGCCAACTTCCTGGCCAACAATATTTTCGATTAAGAAAGAATAAAGAAAAACTAACGAGTGCCATTTCAAATGCAGCTCCAAATCGGCATAGGAACGCATCGTCAGACAGCAGAACTCGCATTGTAAAGGTTCCTAAATAGAGAAGGATAACGTTCAATCAGCATCGCGGATCTCGTCGTGAAGGCTGCTGATTTATTGGCCTTTACAGATGTTCACTTTAGTTTTAAGCTTATACTGCCCACAAATGACCTGGTTTTCACTAGTATCGACCCTTTTTGCAGACACTACTGATGGGCCTCGTGGATCTAGCCTACCCCTTCACTCCATGAAGCGCTCCTTTTTTGCAAACTGTATGAACATTAGCGCATACCGATCGTCATACCGATCGGAGGCGAGCACGCGTCCATTTACGCCGGCCCGGTCTAGCCATCGTAGAAGGAGTGTCACCTTCAAAAGTACAAAAAGGGTATCCAACCTTCGGCACTTCTGCAGGAGCTTCACCACTTCCACTTGCATCGGTTGAGCAGACGTCAGCTGAAAACAAGAAATTGTTTGATTTGGCCCTATGCTATCAACTGGGCAAGACACCGAAATTGAATAGTAGCAATTCACTTAACTGAAAATTGAACAGATCCAAGACTCACCTAATTCATTGATAAGACCATTCCCGATACTTGCTCTGGATGCGTTCTTCGATGAAGATGATGCAATAGGATTGTTCACTTCTACAAAGAATTCGGTTGAGAAAATTACACCGAAAGCGTCCCAAGATATCGCAGGAAGAAAATTCACCATCACTGCAAGTTACACTGGATGATTCCACAAGTCCATCGATTTCATCAATCAAATCAGCTTCCGCAATGGAGACCATTTCGCCTCTTAGCAAAGAAGCACGGCTTTCATTGTGCATTTGACGTTCGAGCTCCTCAAGTGGAGGCGTAGGTAACCCAGCGGGTGAGCGCTGGATGGAATGTGGTGAATTCCGACTACCGCTTCCAATTACTTGAACAGACGGAGGCTCCACATATTCCGTTACATGCGCTGAAGGTGGGGAACCATCAAGTATCACAATTGGAGGAGATTCCACACGGCGAGTTTGCTCCTGTTGTTTCGCTGCAGGCGTGCTAGCAGAAACCGGAGAATATGAAGATGTAGACGCAGTAGGAGAAGCAAAAGGCGTCTGAAAACGAAAAATGCAAATCCAAACTCAAGTTGTCGCCCGAAATAAAGAACAGCCCCTACTTCGCATGACTTTAGCTTTGCCATCAAAGCTTCCTTTCTTTTCTCCTCAAGATTGACAGGGAGACTACCGTCCTCTGTGAGACCGATGGCAAGATTTATGGCGCGTGTTGTTGCGGTGAAAACTGTAGGTTTGCTTCTGAAGGAATCTGAAATTAAAATCCATAAATTCAGTGGGAAGGAAGGAAAATGCAAGAAGTTTGCAACTCACTTGCGCCGTCATTCGCCTCTTCCACCTTCAGAAAAACACCATGATAAGCGGCCATATGCACTCGTAATCCAAAAACTGAGCACAAAGTTGCTGAGCACTCCCAGCAACTTATGCGGCTATTCGGTACTATGAATCCCGGGAACACACAGTAGACCTTCAACATTCCAAAATAATCTTCAAGAAACCTTTTAACTGCTCGTAATTAGGAAACAGGGAGAGCGAAGTGGGAGCAACCCAGCTGGCATTGACCATCTCTCATAATCCCGGGTGCACCAAGTGCACCTTCTGGTGACCTCAATGGTGTTAAGGAGGGTCGAACTCATCGAGGCCATCATCGTTACAACATACTCGATATAAATCATAATGAATCTCAAAAAAAAACCCACAGCGTGAGTACACAACGGCAGCGCGCTGGAGAAAATGCGCTTGGTTGGAGGGTATGGCTCAATCAGAACTACCAATGATCATTTTGGAAGGTATGCCTCATGAAAACCTTCGTTATTCCAACCGTCCGTAACAAGTACACCAGGTACAACTTTTCTTAGAATGCAATTCTCTAACTTCTCCATTTTTGGATATAACAAGCACGTGATTTTATCAATGAAACCAGAAAAAAGAAGGAAAGCTTACCAGTAAGCTGTCATCAAGATCGTAGGGAGGCGCATTGCCGCTGTTATTTCGAAGTTCTGGACAGCACCTCGATAAGTGATTGAGCGTAGCAGTGTCTCCTATACAAAGGCAATGACACCGCTGACACATGAGCACCCTTAATAAATACTTTTACAGTATGTTGTAAGTTACAAGAACATGAGAACTCAACAACCGTCTCACTTTGAGTAGACCCCGCCGTGAGAAGGATTGTGCTTTTTTGAAAGCGGTTTTCCTCCAGCAAGTCTGCAGTACTTTGTAAACTTTTGCGAGATGTCGTCAGCTAATTTACTGCTTGTTTCTGGCTCTCCAGTTCCTCGAATATATACGTACGCATTCTCACTGTTATATTTCTTCGAAGACTCCACCTATAAAAGGACCGCTTAATAATGATTATCGTGTTCGCACTTCTTCGTCCATCGGGCAGCTTCCACTCTTCCAGCCACCACATCTACATTGGTGCTAGGCGAATATATATAAAAAGACTCAAATGCGGGAAAAACTGATAATTATTGTTAATTTCGTTCACATTGCTATGTCCCAGTTCTACTCTGTGATGAAATCGGATTGCTCAGCACTAGCAGGTGTTGCAGTTTCCCGTACACTTCCTTCACTAGTATTTTCCGTTCTTCATTATCACATCTCAAGTACGCCTATGTCTGCGGTGATTCTTATCTACAGATATAGATATATCTATCCTTATCTATTCCTTAAGAGTAGCAAAGACAGGGTGAGTTTGGATAGTTAATAGATGAAGTGTAAAGGCCTACATAAACAAGAAAGCAAACGCACCGTTTCGTCCTCGGATTTGTTGGCAGTATAAAAGAAGCTGTTGATCTTCAAAGCACCGGCGATATCGAAGGAATCTCCCTGAGGTTTCAATAGTAAGGGAACGGGGCGACACTAATAAAATGATTGAAGGAAGTCACTAATGAGTCAAAGTAGTACAGAAAGATATGCTCCTTGAACCAAAGTCAGTCGTCGCATAAAGAAATGTAATGAGATTACCAGTATTTTCCGCAGCTTTGCGCTCCCGTCATCTGCCGGTAAGGCCTCAGCTTCAACTTCATCCGGGTCTTTCTTATATGTTGGACCAGCTCTACGTTTTCTTCCTCGTCTATTTGCTTTCTTTTTCGTCGTCACACTTTCCCATGCGTCGACAAAAGGCTAGAAAATAAAAAGTAAAGAAACGTAGAAGTAAATCAAAAAAGTAATCAATTTGGTACACTGCTCAAATTAAAACCTAATAAGTTGAACAATTGAAGGAAGTACCTTTGGAGTCATTTGATGCGGAACCGCTAATAAATTTATCTTTCAACTGTGATGGGCAATTATCCAGGGTTATTTTTGATTTTAAAAAATCAATCACTTGGGTACCCCCAGGAGGCCCATCGCGCGGCAAGAAGGCAGAGTCGGCGGACGAGTCGCAGCGCGTGATGTGCGATGAAGGACGTGCAATGGGACATTCTATTTAACTTGACGCGAATCCCTATACGCGCGCAACTCGTCCGCTGACTCGCCTTCTTGCCGCGCGACGGGCCTCCTGGGGGTTACCCCAAGCACTTTATTTTTAAGATGAGTTAAATAAAAGCCGTGAATGTCCAGCTCTTCAAAAAGATCTGTTGTGCTCTTTTGCACTGCGAGTTTTCAGCCTTACAACACTATGTGGTGAATTTCTGTAAGGAATCTTTCTCGGAAAAATCATGTTCTATCTCACTCATAAATCGCTGGCTTGAGACCCACTGTTCACGATAAGAACGAAAAGAACAAAAAATTGCGTTTATTTGGTAAAAAAAAAAAGAAAAAACGAAAGGGCTGCTACACGTTCGACCTGTCACAAATGCTGGCGACGGGAATGCTTCCACTTGGTTCTCGGAGTGCCGTCACTAGAAACTCTTTCTGGCCTTTTGACTTATTGCATTCACATCTCACACTTCTACTGCATCCTATTCTATCGATCTTTTGTCTCTTTCCCAAAATCGAACGCTTTAACCCGATTCTTTCATTGCGTCGCCTGATACGTGCCGCCCCAAGGCGCATTCTTTCCATGCCCCGCCTTTGGCTCCGCCCGACCTACCTTCGACTGTCCAGTGTGGTTTTTGTAAGTTTGTTTCTCTTCGGAAACGAATCTTCGTGCGTGAAACTTTGTATGTTGTCTCTAGTGATCACATGTTCATGTTGGGAAAGAATGCAAAAGATTTCGGGAGGATTCCCTTTGAAAATCGATTTCTTGCAAATCTCGAGTTTCTCTCAACACATTTTCGTGTGAAACTCTGAGGCTCAAAAAAAACTAGACTAGAGATTTTCGCAAAGTACTGAATGTCATTCGCAAAATTCTGCAACCCAAAAAAATAGTCATGCTGTGCTTTTTTCCACAAAACTTCTCGAACAATTCTCGTGAAAGCGCATATCTTCCATGGTGGATTTATGGCAAGTGATAGAAAGCCATACGATTTGCTTCATAACAATACCGAATCATCCTGAAATCCTTGGGGCTGGAAACCTTTCTTTAGCCAGCCTTTTTCTATTAAATTGCCGTGCCATGAATATGTATGATCAGATCCTCTTCTAGAGAAGAAGTCCTTCTTGTCTGTACGCATACCCGAAACGAGACGATGAAATCACGAGTGGAAGTCAGCAGAACGG